TGTTTCAACAACATAAGAGTTGTTACTTCCCAGGTAGGGTTAATTGTACTTTAAAATTTAGATATGTAAGATATATTATTTATAATAAAAGCCTTTCAGTTATAAAATAAACTTTATTTAAGAGACGATTCAATAAACTTGAAAAAAATTTAATTTCAAAAAATAACCATCATTTCAAAATTTTTTATTTTCTTTCAACCTCTAAAAATTTTGAAACATTTTTATCGAATTCTAGTAATCCCAATAACCATTAGAAGTACTAATTTGGTTTAAAGAGATAAATTAATGATCTTAAATGTCTACTTTTAGAAACCAAAAATTAATAATCTCAGTATCCTTAAAGAATTATTTATTTACACACGTGTTAGTTTCTTACACTTAGATTATTAAGAATAGTCAAATTCAAAAACTTATATGTTTTTAACATGGAATGGAATAGTTAATAATGTTAAAAAAAATAGTGAAAAAAAATGTCAAATTAGGATCGAATCCTTAACCACAGATGGATAGTACACAGGGCTTTTATTATCCAGTTAGCCAGAGTTGACTAAATATTTTTGCAACAGTTTAGATTAACATAAGATACTTATATAGGCCATAGATTTTTTTCTTTTATTAGTAATTTAATAAGACAAGCGTTATAATTCGTTTGTTTTAACAATATTTTTAGTGTGAATAACAAGCGAACTCACATAATCATACATTTAGAAAATCATTTTAAAAAACTCCTAACACAATTTACAATAAATATGACAGTAACATTAAAATTAAGAAAAAAACAATTATCATAAAAAAATTCTTACTTTTCTATGAATCCGTTCCGTACAGCTTAACTTCCACATAAAATTGTTCACTCATAATCTTTCAGTAAAGGTTAGATGTACGGGAACGAAGAATTCTCTGTAATTATTTACGTATTATTTTAAAATTAATAATTTTTACGTTAAAACGTAAATTAAAATTTTTTCACGTCTTTCATCATTAATAATTATTACTGAGTGACTGATATCAGTTTTTGAATTATATTTTTTAATAATCAAATTATAATGAACAACTATTTTGCGTTAGGTACGTATTAAAATTTCATGATAATTTTTCAGTATCTTTGTGATGATAAAAAATTATGAAATAATTTTTTCAACAAAGATTTGAAAGTTTTACTCACAATAATAGTGTTATTAAGAGAATTTTTTTTTAATGAAGCTTCCAAGCATTAAATAAGAATTTTTTCATCTGAAAATTTGGTTATTGTGCTCTTACAAAGCACTATCGACTTTTATAGGATTTCATGAAAAAATTTTATGACCGTAACTTATTAGTTTATGATATATAAGTATAATGTATTTTTATATAGAACCAATAAAACTTTTTTGACTGGCATGTATTATACACAACAGGTAAATGAGAGACATTTATTCGAGTGTGAATAACAAGCGAACTCACATTGTTACAAATCATGTTGATTTTGGCTTTTAGTTAAGAAAACAGTACGAGTAAAACTGTAAAAACATTAAGTCGCACGATTACATGCAAACTATTAAACAAGTTTAATCCGACAATTCTAAGTATAGTTTTTATTTCTCGGCAACAAGCATTTCACGAAAATCGCAGTTTTTAGAAGAAAAAAATTAATTTTTACATCAGCATGAAATTGGAAGGTACGTAAAACGTCTTTGGCAATACACAAAAATGCGCTCTGCCATTTACTCCTAATAATTTAATGAATCGAATAAGGTGTGTTATCGCTATACTTCATCAAGCAAGATGACAAAATCACTGGGGACGAAATTCAAACTTTTATTGTAATTATATTATTAAAATTTCTCGGGTCACCTCAAACGAAAAAAATGCTTAAGAAGACTTTATTTTTTTTCATAAAAGACGAGGTTGATAAGAAATAATTTACAGGTAAAAAAAAGCAAAGTTTACGCGGAAAAACAATTTTGTTTTTTTAAATCTCTCACGAGGATCTGGTGTACCCATATTTTGAAGTATGATAACAGTCGATGTTTAATAATGTAACATAAATTACGGCTCCGCACCACCCGATCAAACAGATAACTTAAACAATGTGTAAGTGCCAGAAAAAATAACACAGCGTCTCCGTGCACTGCACGATTCAGCTTCGACGTGTAGGGTATATGTATACCATTCCCTCCCAACTCCCAACCCACTTATTGAACAACCCATTATACGTATTTTTGTACCCACGTACGAGCTACACCCCGAACTAACCGAATCGATACACACGCTTCCGCTTTTCAATCCCCGGCCTGAGCGCGTAAAGCATATTACGCGTAGTAATTATCGATTGGCTCGAGGTTTCACTTCCCTCGTTTGATTCTGGCGCTATAGATGTCAAGCTTACATGTTGCATACAATTGGTATTTATACATTCGACAACGAAAGTCAAAAAAGTTGCTTTCCATAAAAGTATTGCTACTTATATACTCGACGCACAAAAAATCAATAGACGAAATGGTAATTTAATTGGAAGATAATCGCATTAGTCATAGCTTTGGTTTACCATCAAAGTCTATTATTATTTTGATGGATGATAAATAAATCGTGTGAGCATTGTATGATTCAACCATACGAACATGTATACGTGACCTGAGCTTCGCCGTCTAACTGTAATCAAAATGATTAAAAAATTTGTTCGCTAACGTGCATGAGTTTCATTTAAACATTGTCGAAACTCTGATGATGGCATGTACTTTGGTATCTGAAACCTGAAATTCGTTGAATTTTATTCATGATATCTGTACTTATTCATTGTAACTTGAAATGGTATACATGTTATTGAAAGGGGCTCGAATTGTCGAAACCTGCTTTCGCAGTTATACACATTGAAATTCCGTGCATTAGTTCAGCACTGAAATTTAAAGTCGTAGCCTGACACGTGCATAAAAGAAGGTCGTTCCTGACTCGTTTGGCTTGTCCGTAATATAGATACTTTTTTCTTCAAAACTCTGAAAATCGTTTAGTAAACGTAGAACGAGCAAAAAAGGTAAATCAGAACGAACAGAAAGGTAACAGTAAAAGAGAAAAATAATGACAATAGAGTCTTTTCGCTGAGCGCACATCACGAAGGGTCCCTCGATGCCCGCAAGCAGGCAAACATGAATGAGCAATATGGTAAAACAAAAGCAGAGCTGCGCACGGTAAAGATAGCACGAAAAGCTCTCCTGAAGTATATATGTACACATGCATAAAACAGTGCAAATAGAATGCCTGCAAGCTGTTTTCATGTACCGTACCACTTTTATTTTTTCCGTTGCTATATGCGTGCGTGCAATTTTCCGCGCGACTGCGCTTTTTATTCCTCAGAGATGCATTCTCTAAATTAGGTTTTTTTATTGGCATAGTTAATTGAAAAAGAAAAGAAAAAAAGGGAAAAGAGAGAAGTTTGACTCAAGAATAGAAATATATTTTCATACAAAAATTATTTCGATGAAGAATTCCGTTACATTGTAAAAAAAAATTTTTTTCATTGCGTAAACGTCGTAATCATGTCAATTATGATGATAGGACTAGAAATACATGAGAGTTTTATAATACAGCCTTTTTTTTTATACAAAACTAATGTCAAGTTGCAGTAATAGTACATACTGCCCTCTAACTTTCAGTCGAAAAACAATGCACTGGCATCTTAACAAACTACTTATAACTTAAAGTCACCACATCACTAAAATACAAAATTGATGTACAAAATTACTGCCAAAAGAGTAAAATTTGTTGTCCATTGGGCTTTAGAATTCCACTATATCGTCATCGTGTCTATTTATTGGATCTCCTTTCAATAGTGCCACAATCAAACTGGAAAGAAAAAAATGACGTCAAAAACGAAAATGAAAATTCATGCAACATATAAATCAGGGTGAAAAGTTACGTACCAGTATAGGTAAATAAAAAAGAAAACTAAATAGTATCCAAGGTAGATCATACAGTCTCTCATATGCCTCTTCAGTTGTCCCCTGTTATGAATTTCTGTGGGGTCATATACTCCCATATTACCTTTAGGTACGGTAAAAATTTCATAAAGTAGCCATAATAACATTGGTAGGTTCAGAATAGTCATTATCCACTGGCTATTAAATAGCAGCAAGATCATGAGAAAAGCATGGGCTATCATTTTTGTAATGACCCACTAAAACAAAACAAAAATTATTTCGTGAAAATACAATATTAAAATTCCTTCAATATGATAATAATATAGCATGGTGAAGTACCGCATTCAGTCTGGAGCAGCACTGCTGTGCATTTAAGTAATCACATTCTAGATCCGAGAGTGTTATCACCTTTAAATTGCAAGAGTCAAGGTCAACATGTTAATAGTTATTATTGCTTGCATTTACATTACATGTATTGTTTTATTATATTCATGGAGGTCTCAATCTTTTGAAATATTTTCTACTTATTATGGTAACCAATCAACTGCAGTTACTGATAATATAAAACAGCTTTCTTCATTGATAAAGATTTAAAAATTTTTTTTAAGCCGCTTATGTTTTTTTTTTTAACGAATTAGAATACAATAATAAGTTAAGAAGTAAACTTTTGGATACTTCAGTTCAAACAACTTTTGGTATAGTACTTATTCACTGAATTTAAACCTTATTATTCAAAACTATTAAAAATATACATGCCTTTAAGCTTTCACACTCTTAAGTTTTGAAAATATATATTTTCCAAACAACATATCAATTGAGCACAAGTAACTGTTTTTGAATCACCCCAGTATTCGAGCAATGAAGCTTATACTCCATAATTTTGATGTAAAACTGGAAGAAGTGTAAAAAAACAATGCAAAGGATACATAATAGACGAGCAGGAACAAAAGTGCGCCGGTGTTCATGAGGGCAAAGCCAAAGAGCAGCGGCTCAGCGAAGAACGCCAGCGACGACATAATGTCATCTGTATTTACTTTATGCTCCAGCGTAGAAAGCTACACTAAAATCTCCTATGTAACTTCACTCTTCAACTTCTCGAACAATTAATCTCCAACTTGGTCACTGCACGGTTGGTTCTAGTTGCTTATCATTTGAATAATTTTCCTCTTTGGTCTATTTTGATAGGGTTATGAGTGTGTAACGCTTGTAATCAAAGTCAAACAATAACAACACACAACACACAATAGCGATCAGATCGCAAAAAAAGCAGAGCAGAAACGATAACGCGATGAGTATGGATGATTTCTTTCTTCCCTTTTCTTTTTTTTGTCGTAGATATAAAAATAAATGTTGTTGTAAGTCGCTATAACTACTATATCTGTTGTAATAAATTAGCAGATCGGCTGCAGCAGCGACCACACAGAAAATGACAGACACACACTTAATTCACACATTCACAGATGTGAAGTCGGTAACGAAGGTATCACGCACAGCACCAATTAACAATTGCTGTTAGGTATTGTAAATAGTTAAAAAAATTCTAAAGTAAAATCAGACCATAGATGATAGATGAAAATGATATCCATAGGCCTACATGAAAGCTTTGTATATATTTACATGCAAACTAGTTTAATATTATGCTTTATTTATTCAATCTTTAATATTTGCACCAAAAGCATTTTTTTCCACCAGTCACTACTACTACTTGTATATTATTATATGATACCATAACCTTTCTCGTTCGTAAATCCCAAAAGATAAATCGCGATCAATAGTTGATCAATATTTTACTACGTGTCTTTCTTTGCGATTTCGAATTATGTACATGTATTTCATATCCGGCACCACAAACTAATCAACGTGGATTCCCCCACAAATGTATACTAGTAACCTTGCGTGCACTGAAAAAATTTAAAAAGTCCCTAATATATTATCGCCCGATCCCTGCAATATGACAAGCAGACGACATAAATAAGCAGAGCAGAACGAAAAAAAGAGCACAACAAACATCCGACAACAACCTCTCTCTCAACATTCAATGACTCAACCCTCTCATGTAAATGTAATCGCATTTGCGTTTTGCTTGACAGTTGACACGCAGGTCAAAAAGTAACGATTTTCAACGCAAACAAAGCGCGAGAGAGCCCTTATATACATATACGCCCACACGCACCTGCCTGCGATGATGATAAGGAAAACTTGAACGGGTCGACCAGGTATACCTATATGTTCGCGTTCAATTGCATTTGCATCGTCGTTCCTCGCTCGTGAAATAAGTATGAGAGATAATTTGTTGAATGGAAGTGCAGGCGACGGATGCGTCGTGATCCAGCCGTTTCAAGAGACAATACCCAAGGTTTATCGCTGATGTCCCAGTTCGAGGAAGCGCGTTCAGTTTAACCTTTTGAAAACGCTGCACTCCTGACTTACGTTTGTCATCATGCAGGATACTATTAGTTGTATTATTATTGAGAGTAGCCGCGAAACTTCGTCTATGGTCACTCGGTGCCTTTGTTGATATTGAGAGCTGCTCCGTTTTGTAACGCTCTGTAAGTTTTTAGTACTGTTCATTTTTTTTTGTCGATACGTTAAAATTTTATGATTTAAATTTACAACCACTTTAACTATGTACCTTTTTCAAGTGCATCCTTTTCTTATTTGTTATTTCTTTTTTCAGTTTCCATAAGGCATTTGTATTGATAATCGCTGACACTTGAAAATCAGCAAAATGTTCAGAGACCTACCAAAACTTGTGATCGAAGATCCATCAGCACCATCGATAGCATTCGTTGCTAATATTCGGATGGAAGATCTGTATGAAAAACTCAAGCTGCTCAACTATGACGCTGAATTTATTCAAGAATTAAAGATGAAACATATCAACAGGTGAGCCTCTTATGATTAGATTTTTGGAAAATGTTGTATTACTTAAAAATTTGTTTTTATAGGCATTACTTTGTTGTACCAACAAATCCAGGAGAACAGTTTTACATGTTCACATCTTTGGCTGCTTGGTTAATAAGAAAAGCTGGAAAAAAATTTGATCCCCCACAAGAGTCTGATGATCCAAATTCAACTATCTCAGATATCTTGGAAGTTTTAAAGGAAATCGACGTGCCCGTAGAATTCCCTCCAAACAAATTGAAACAAGGGGTTGGAGAGCAGGCTGTTTATGTGCTTGACAATCTTGCTGATTATGCCATGAAATTTTTGAAGTTCAAATGGGAAAAGTAAATTGCTTCAAAGTTAATTAAGCTATGGCTTTAAAATCACCTAAAGCTGAGTTTTGAGAAATGAATTATTTTTCAGACCAAAAATTTTACCAGACGAATCCATAGCTGAAGCAGAAGTTGAAGACGACGCAGAGATCATACTAGAAAAAGTCGAGGAAGAAATAACAGCTGAATATGATGAGGACGACGAAGACATTGTTCATGTTGATGATATAACAAAATTATACAAAGAATCTTCAGTAAGTTCTGATATGTATTTTATGTAAATTATTAAGCAAAGAAAGACAAAAAAAATTATACGTTAAATTACTCATTGTTATTATAGGCTAATACTCAAAAGAGAGAAAAAATCTTGGAATCAACGATGGATGCAGAAGAATGGAAATTAGAGTTAGAACGTGTTTTGCCACAGCTAAAGTTATCCATTGACGCTGGTAATGACACGAACCTCATTGTTTTGCGGTCAGCACAACGTTTATTTAATAAATCAACGTTTTTTTTAAAGATACTCGAGACTGGAAGGCACACCTTGAACAAATGAAAGCCTTGCATGCAGGTATGGGACAAAATTTATCAGGAACAAAGGGCCAGCTAGAAAAGCTACATGCAGACATTGGCAGAGCACTAGACAAAATCAATTCTAGAGAAACAGAGCTCAATCGCCAACTAGAGCCACAACTACAAGAATTAAGGATTCTACAGGTAAAAGATAAAAACATAATTTTTTTTTACCGTATTTTTAATAAAACTATAAATTGCCAATAAAAGTTCTCGTTGAATAATCCAGGAAGAACTTTCAAAAGTCAAAGAACAATACAGAGATGTTAGTGGAGGAGTAACAGAACGCACTAGGACCTTGAACAAACTCACGGAAGAGTTGGAACAAGTCAAGAAAGAAATGGATGAAAGAGGCTCAAGTATGACGGATGGAAGTAAGTATCTTTTTTGTTAAAAAATGCACCATCGTTTTTGAAAGTAGACCAAAAAAAGATGTATGAAAAACTTGCGACTGACCCTTATAATATAAAAACTTGAATGCCAGTAATCCGATTACCCAAAGAGATATTATTAGTATCAATAAACATTTATTATGCTTTTATTTACGTTCGCAGAATAAAAAATATATAAATGAACCATTCCATTTCAGCTCCGTTGATCAATATAAAAAAGACAATAGCCAACATGAAAAGCGAAATTTCGGAAATGAGTATACGAATCGGAGTTCTGGAGTACAGTCTGATGTGTTCGAGAGTGCGGGACAGTGCTCAACTGCGAGAGGACATGAAAAGCACGAACAGCACTGTTTCAACTTGATAAAACCCTCAAACACGCGTGTCTCAATCAATCAACTATTTGTAAAATCTGTTATATATTTGTACCATTTTGCAAGTCTGTTCTAGTCAATTTTTTTTGTACATACATACATTTGTGGCACTGATACATGATACTGAAAAGAAAGTCTAGTTTATTCACTACGTGTGAGAAAACAGTCAACCACCCTTCGTTATAAATATAATTATTACGCCTCGTCAATCCGAGTGATTCACACTGGATAATTTGCATACATCGTGGGTGAGTCATAATGTATGAAACTTATCACCAGAGAAAAAAAACTTCAAGTACTCCTCTGATAAAAAAAACTTGTTACGTGCTTTATTTGAATGTAAATACATATTTGCTCCTGCAATCGACGAACGGTTCCCCGGACAAAAAAAAACAGCAAAGATCCACATCCTGATTAAAATCACCATGCAGTTGTGTGTGCCGAGAGAAGTGCGACTTTGAAAATAACATCCGCGCAACGGCACTTGTTACGCGTGTTATATATATATATATACAAACGGGAGATACGGAGGAGGATGCGTCATATCCATCTCCCGTCTTCGAATTTTGTATGTATACATAAGTATAGAGAAAGGAGATGTTGAAGAGCAAGTGAGAGCGCGCGTCGGAAGCTCTCTTTTATTTATTATACTTGCATGCGCGAGAGCTGCAGTCTGCGCGCGGACCTTTCGCTCGGACGAGCAAGTATGTTTTTGCGCGTTTAAGTGCAGAGTGCCAACTTTTGCTCTTGGGACTTGTTCGCTTCTGGTTTTCACGGTAATATGTTTGTTTCTGGATTTTTTTTTTTTTTTTTTTTTTTTTTAAATTGTCAAAACACAATTATTTTTTGTGTCGTTTTGCAGTATGTTTTTTCACGTGTACATACTTGCAAGTTGTACCGGAAAATGTGTAGTGCAATATTTTAATACAAGTACCTCATACTTACACATTTTTTGTTGTGTATGCAGTGGCTCCATTTCTCAAGACGCTATTACGATTAGGAGTACAGGATATATCTGTAGCTGTTTGTTTGTTTGTTTTGTACATAAAATTTTAGTCATCATTATTTTTTACAAATTTAAACATTTTGGTTATCAGTTAAAATAAGATTTTTCACTTATTGTGGTAAAATCAATGTATGAAGAAAATTTTTGCTATAAAACAACAAAAGTCTTTTCGCTCTCGTATAAATTATATTTTGTCGTGTTAAAATTTATTAGTACATATTGTTACGTGGGATTAATGCGGGTATAAATAAAAGCGTGACTCGTAGTTAACTTAAACTTTATTAGCACTACTTGTATTCGAGGGAAGCTGCGCGTGTCTACCAGTCTCGTGGGCCGGGTCCTTTCGTTCTCGCGTCTCTAGCTAATCTCTCCTTTACTCTTTTGCTTCGCTCTCCCTTTCCTATCACTTCTCTTCTCTGTTCATCTACCTTTTGGGCCCAGGCCAGCGAGGGTGCACGCATGCATATCCATTTGCTATCGTACGTAACAATATTATACAGAGAATAACAATTTTTTGAGTAGCTATAATAGCTTTGCAGCAAAGACGAATACGTCAGATAAATGTGAATGATCATTTTTAGTTTTTACGTAATTTATGAATTATATATGTACTTATGTTACCAATTGGATGGCATTAGATACGACTATATCTTCGGCTGTTACAAGGCGCGCAAGTCAGGCGGTTTTAAAAATCTCTTCATTTTCCTCTTTGTTTATAGAGTTGATGCGGATTGCCAACGGCGTTTGAGTACTTCCTTGTATCTCTTCGATCTTCGCATAAAAAGACGTGTATAGTTTTTAGCACAATGTTGCCGACCATTTAAATTTTCGAGGATAATATTTTTGTTCATGCACAGTATTGCTCCTGTAGTTGAGAGTTTTTTTTCAGATAAATTCTGCAGGTACTTTTTTTTACAACTCTTACGCAACTCTCGTTTTTTAGGAATAATCATTTTTTTTCTGCTTAAAACTACTATATTATCTGAGTAAAATAGATAAAATTTTTAGTCAAACGCTCGCTTGATAAGGCATTTTTTTCCTTTTGTCCATATAATATCTCGTATAGCTGTGATGTTTGTTCAGAGGAAAATAAGCTATGTTTGTATGGATGTGCTGTTTGAGAAATTTCGCGAAATATTTCAACTTAGGATATACCGCAGAAAGAGGAAAAAAATTTTAGACAGATTTTTTGGAATACAGGTCTTTATTTCCCACGATCCTCTATAAATGTGGAAAAAATCATAAACTTTAATTTAAAAACGTTTAATATATATTTTTTGGCCCTATTTAGCTTTTTGATGAGTTTTTGGGTTTATACAATTAAAAAAAATTTTTTTAAAGCTAAAATAAGTAGAAGATATGAACTATGTTTACGTACGAATGATTATTTTTTTGCAAGTCCTATGTTGTATTGAAAATAATCAGGTGGAAAAAAATACTGATAAAAATTATTTTAACAAATCATACTACATTACAAATCATACCAATATCCCAAAAATTTTATTTGATATCAAAATATATTGAAAACTTGACAAAGTTTAAAAGACTCATCGGCTGACTTTAATACAAATTTTGTTCATCAAAGGTTTGTGTAAAAAAATATAGGGAAGTTCATATGCAACTAAAGTTTTTTGTGTGTCGATTTGCTTGAAAAAAAATTTGTTGTTATCTTTAGATTTCATTCAGTACATACAAGCTTTGTATCATAATTTAAAATCGGCATGATATGTCCGAGTCCTCTTGCTAATCCAAGTATTAAATACTTTTTTTTATAAACGTCTGCACAAAAACATTGACAGTTACATATTACAGCAAGATATTGTCTATTTTTAATTCCAAGTCTGAAATTATTGCACGTTACACGTTACAGCTCATTGTCGCGTTGCGTTATGGTAAAAAAATCGATATCTCTCTTCTTTCCTTCCACGAAGACGCACGTGGTCTCTGTTGAAGTATATAAAACGTAAGTAGTGGCGATTGTTGCTACTTTCACCAATACGTGAGGTACGTTGATTCGTGCCTGGATGTATATCAATGGTTCTACAAAAAATTTTTGTTCGGAATTTCCGGTGACTAAAAAAAAAAAAAAATAATAAAACGATGTCCAGGCATGTGTTTTCTTCTATATGCGCTTTCAAAAATATTAGACAATTATATAAGTTAATACAAAAATACCCTTTTCGTACTTTTACTGTAAGTATACGGAGGAAAGGTCAAACTTTTGATTTTATTCGAATTCAAAAGTTAAGCGATTTTAAAAAGTTTTTCTTCTTATTTCAAGCAAGAAATATTATTGTAAGATTATTTTCTTTAAAATTTTCAATGGGTTTGTAACAGTTAAACTTAAATGAAAAAAAATAAATAAAA